TAGCCCTATAGCCATATAGCCCGATAGCCCTATAGCCCGATAGCCCTATAGCCCTGTAGCTCGATAGCCCTATAGCCCGATAACCCTATAGCCCTAAAAAATTGGATTGGGTTTTTTCTCCGGTATCATTTTGTCATAACTTCGACCCCCGGAAGTTCCGACCCTTTCCCCAGGCTGTTCATCCTGAGTCGTTTCTGGACGGTCCCGAGGCCCGGCCTTCTGTTTCGAAAAGACAGCGTCCGCGGCGGCGCGGGCAGCGTCCTGTGTCAAAGTGAGCAGGAACTGCTGTTGGGCATCGTGCCCATCTTTTCCGTATCCATTTCTTGAGCAGGGGCCGACCGTCCCGGCATTCCTATAGGCCTACCACGACAAGTTCTTAGAACCCAACGTGTTCCAACAACAATTACTGGACGGTGGGACCCCACATGAAAATATGTTTGGCTTGCCCTTAGCTTTTTCCTCCTCGCCCTGGCGGACACCCTCTTCTCGCCCTCTGCTCTGCCCTCTCTTCCACCTTCTGCTATTTCTCCCCTTCCACCTCCTCCTCCTCCTCCTCGTCCTCCACCTCCTCGTCCTCCTCCTCTTCCTCCTCCTCCTCCTCCTCCTCCTACTTCCCCTCCTCCTCCTCCTCCTGCTCGTCGTCGTCCTCGTCCTCCTCCTCCTCCTCCTCCTCCTCCTCCCCCTCTTCCTCCTCCTCCTCGTCTTCGTCCTCGTCCTTGTCCTCCTCCTCCTCTTCCTCCTCCTCCTTTTCCACATCCTCCTCATCATCGCCCTCCCGCTACCCCCCCCCCTCATCCTCCACCTGCCTCCCCTCCGTGTGCACCTCCCCTTCCCACTGGTCGGAACAAACGCATCGATTTTCCTCGGCGCCGTCGCCGGCTCGGCCAGCACGCGCGCTTTCGCCGACGGCTGGATCACAAAGCCTTGGGGGCAACCGCGCGGGCCATCCCTTTGGAACAACCCCGCAGGCCAGGCCGTTGGGACAACCCCGCGGGCCTCGAGGTAGGCGCGGCAGCGCTCGGGCGGGGGGCACACGAAACCCAACCGGGCACGACCCCCCCTCGAAACTTCGAGGGGTCCGATGACCCGCTCGGGCTGCCAACATGAAGCGCGGGCCCTATAGGGAGGGGGCTCCCGCCTGAGACTTCGTCACAATTCACTCACAGACGAGGCTCCCGCCTGAGACAACTTTTGCGTTCAGGCCTGAGAAGCTCAAAGGTAATGACAGACAGTTACAGGATCCTGATGGCCCGCCTCGGATTCGAACATGAAGCGCGGGCCCCATAGGGAGGGGGCTGCGGCCTGAGACTTTTTCCAAATCCTGGCCTGACGAGCCCGACAGTGATGACAGCAGTTTCAGGTTTCCGATGACCCTTTCGGAGGACCAACATGAAACGCGGGCCCCATAAGCAAGCGGCATCCGCCAGAGACTTCATCGCAATTCACTCACAGACGAAGCTCCCGCCTGAGACTTCCTCGAAATTCAAACCTGAAGAGCTCAAAAGCGATGGCAGTTGCAAGTTTCGGATGGCCCGCTCGGATTACCAACATGAAGTGCGGGCCCCATAGGGAGGGGGCTCCGCCTGAGACTTCAACTCAATGACAGACGAGGCTCGCGCCTGAGACTTCCTCCACATTCAGGTATGAAGAGCCCAAAGACATGACAGCTGCAGGGTTCCGATGACCCGCTCGGATTGCCAACATTAAATGAAGGCCTCATAAGGAGGGGGCTCCCGCCTGAGACTTCCTCGCAACTCACTCACAGACGAGGCTCCCGCCTGAGACTTCTTTCGCATTCAGGCCTGAGGAGCCCACACGTGACGACAACTGCAGGGTTCCGATGACCTGCTCAGCTTACCAACATAAAGCGCGGGCCCTAAGGGGAGCGTGCTCCCGCCTGAGACTTCCTCGCACGTCACTCACAGACGAGGCTCCCGCCTGAGACTTCTTTCGAATTCATGCCTGAGTCAGCCAAACATGACGACAGTTGCAGGGTTCCGATGACCCGCTCAGATTACCAACATGAAGCGCGGGCCCCATAGGGAGGGGGCTCCCGCCTGAGACTTCCTCGCAATTCACTCACAGACGACGCTCCCGCTTGGGTGGGTTGGTGGGTGAGTGAGTGGGCGAGTGAGTGAGTGAGTGAGTGAGTGAGTGAGTGAGTGAGTGAGTGAGTGAGTGAGTGAGTGATGATGATGATGATGATGATGATGATGATGATGATGATGATGATGATGATGCTGATGATGATGATGATGAGTGTGTAAGTGAGTGAATCTGCGAATGACGACGACGATGGTGATGATAGTGTGCGTGAGTGGTTGAGTGTGAGTGATGATGGTGTGTGTGGGAATGATTAAGTGAGTGTGCGAAGGGAGAAGTGAAAGAGAAAGAGAGAGAGAGAGAGAGAGAGGGAGAGGGGGGGAGGAGGTGAGATCCTGCGCGGACGGTATGCAGACAAAACAAGAACCCCACTTTGGATGGGGGAAACACTGTTCTTAGAACGTAAGACAGGTGTGTACAAACAAGACAGTCTCAGCCATTACTGTTCTAAGAACATGTCGTGCAGACAATACAACAAGTGCTTCTAATATGCTGTGTTAGGCCTTACACTAACGAGCTAGGACGCTTCGGCACTGGTGAGCGTTCTCTTGTTCGGAGTTTCGACATTTGGGGGGGGGGTCTGGCTCTGGACCTCTGCTTAGTGCGACCGTTTGCAGCAGTGCGTCCTGTGGTGGGGGGGACTCCACCTGCGCGAAACAGGCGCCAAACACAGCCATGATCTACTCCACCGGGGGAGGGGGTGGAGGGGGGGTGCGAGGGCCCGCGCCGATCGGCAAAACAATGAATGACAAAAACGATCACCTTATAAAGGCGAGCCAGGACGCTCCGCCACTGCTTAGACATCTCGCTCCTGCCCATCCGTGGGCCACGCGTCGGAAAACTCGGAGTGGCCGGCTGCCCCGGGGTGCCCCTGGGCTGGCGCGGCCGCGGGCCCCACGCGGGGCCTCCTCCTCCCCACGACCCCCTTGAGGCCTGAGACAAATCGTGGCGTGAGGCAGTTTTTCGCGAGGCTCTTCGCGGCTCTCGGCCTCTCGACGGGCCGCCTTTCGCGATGTCCGGCCTCCAGGGGCTAAGGAGCCTGCTGTGGTCCGCACGCAACATGTTCTTAGAACAGTTCTATCAGAGTCTGTCTTGTTTTAGCACATCTGGATTCAGTTCTACGAACCTGGTTTTCTTCTTGGAGCATGTTTGGATCCTAAGAACATGTCGTGCTAGGCCAATGGGAAAGCCGGGACGGTCGGCCCCTGCTCAAGACATGGATAGGGAAAGGATGTGCACGATGCCCAACAGCAGCTCCTGCTCACTTTGATCACGGGCCTCGCTGCCCGCGCCGCCGCGGACGCTGTCCTTTTGAGACGGAAGGCCGGGCCTCGGGACCGTCCAGAGGCGACTCAGGATGAGCAGCCTGTCCCGGGGAAAGGGTCGGGACTCCCGGGGGTCGACGTTGTGACAAGCTCACGACGTCGGGGGGCCTGGGGCCCTCGATCCGGCCCGCACGCGGCGCCCGGAGATCCTCGATCCTTGGGGTTCGGGTGGGGAGCAGGAGCGCCGATCCTCGATCCTTGAGTCCGGAGGCTCGACCCTCGAGGTGGGATCCTCGATCCTTGAAGAACTTGGCGGGGCCGCCTGGGGCTCTTCAGGGGAACGGGTCGAGACCTCCGGGGGTCGACGCCATATATGCAATCATGCCATTGCCACTGGAACCTTCGGTGGAGCTGATGATTATGACGACGATGCTGATGTTGATGTTTGGGATGATGATGGTGGTGATGATGATGACGATGACGATGACGATGACGATGACGATGATGATGATGATGATGATGATGATTATTATTCTTCTGATGTTGATGCTGATGCTGATCATGATGATGGTGATGGTGATGCTGATGCTGATCATGATGATGCTGATGCTGATGCTGATGCTGCTGATGCTGATGCTGATGTTGATGGGGATGATGATGCTGAGGATGATGACGATGACGATGACGACGACGATGATGATGATGATGCTGATGATGATGATGCTAATGATTATTATGAGAGGAGGAGGGAGGGTGAAGAGGAAGGAGGAGAACGCGGGGCGCTGTCTCTTCAAAACGAGGACCCATTACCACAGGCTGTCTGGGAAATAATCACGGCGTCGTGGGTCTGGGCCTGCTCCTGGCCACGCCTGCTGCTTCCTCCCCCGCACCCTCCTCGGCCTCCTCGCCCGGCCTCCCCTCCTCCTCCTCCTCCTCCTCCTCCTCCTCCTCCTCCTCCTCCTCCGTCTGGTCTTCTTCTTTTACTCCTCCTCCTCCTCCTCCTCCTCCTCCTCCTCCTCCCCCTCCTCTCCCCCCTCCTCCTCCTCCTCCTCCTCCTCCTCCTCCTTTTCCCCCTCCTCCTCCCTCCTCTTGGCTCCGTCTCCCCTGGTCACCCTGGTCCTTCTGTCCTGACCCTTCGCGTTCCTCCTCCTCCTCTCCTCCCTCCTCCGTCTGGTCTTCTTCTTTTACTTCTCCTCCTCCTCCTCCTCATCCCCTCTTCCTCCCCCTCCTCCTCCCCCTCCTCCTCCTCTCCTCCTCCTCCTCCTCAGTCCTCCTCCTCCTGCCCCTCCCCCTCCTCCTCCTCCTCCTCCTCCTCCTCCTCCTCCTCCTCCTTTTCCCCCTCCTCCTCCCTCCTCTTGGCTCCGTCTCCCTCCTGGTCACCCTGGTCCTTCTGGTCCTGACCCTTCGCGTTCCTCCTCCTCCTCCTCCTCCTCCTCCTCCTCCTCCTCCTCCTCCTCCCCCTCCTCCCCCTAATGATGAATTTCGTCCACTTCTCATCAGGAGAAGACTAACTGAACTGGAGGAACCCAATGGAGGAGCAGGAGGATGCGGGGAGGAAATGAAGGGAGGATAAACATGTGGTGGCGTCCCTTCTCCTGCTCGTCCAAGCGTGAACGAAGGGGTGCATCCGGCCTCCACCCCGAACTGCTTCAGCGCAGGCACATGCGGGTCCAAATCCGGCATCCGCACCTGCACCACGCAGATCCTGGCGCGTGCCCGAGGGGGCCCTCGCATGTCCGTGCTGCAAGTCCTCCTGTTGCCCCTGCTCTCTCTCTCTCTCTCTCTCTCTCGTCGAGGCCGCAAAGCGTCGCCACCGATGATTCAACACATAGGATCGTTACCGCCGCTGGTCGCAGAAACCATCGCGAGAACGGGGTGGGGGAGGGCATATGATCGGCGGCGAGCGAGGGGGGGGAAATGAGAAGGGGCTGGCCTTCTCAGAAGGCTCGGAAGTTTCCCAGCCTTCTGAGAGAAGTTTTCTAAGTCTTCCCCGAAGACACAGAAAACTTCTCAGAAAGCGCGAGGGCTCCTGAGAAGTCCCGCCACCTTCTGAGAAGCCCTTCTCCTTCAAACTTCTTCCCTCGCTCGCCGCCAATGCGAACTTGAAGAAACAAAGGGTAACCCGAGCGCGTGTCGTGACCTTTGCGCTCTTGAAACGGCTTCGCCCCCTACTCCTCGAAGCCCTGGCGGGTCTGCAGAACCGACGAGGCTCCCGTAGGCCTCCTCTCAATTGCTTCTCTTTTTCATGTCTGCTCCTCCTCCTCCTCCTCCCAAAAGGTGTTTTTCGGCGCCCTGTTTGGCCTCCAGCCACGACAGCTGGAAGGATCCAACATGGCCTCAATATGACGCCAGTGTGGTCCAAGATGCCTCGAAGCGAGCCACAGATTGCCACATGAAGGCCCCGGGGACCCCCAGCACAACCCCAGATGGCTACAAGAGGCCTCCTGGCGAGTCCGAAGAAGCCGAAATAATTAGTATCCAACATGTGCCTTCAACGGCTTTTGTGTTACAACCGATTCGGGCTTCCGATAGCTCTAGAAGGCTTCAGAGACATCTAAGACGACCCAATAAGCCCCCGAGATGGCCCTGAAGATCTCCACGACTGTCCGGTATCGCCTCGTCCTCTCCTCTTCGACCGATCGGCGGCTCAAAGGTGAGGCCCTCAGGGATGGGGCCCCAAGGATAGGAAATGATCCCATAATAAAAAATAGTAATACAGATAAAAATAATAATGCGAATAAAATTAAAAAGCAATAATAATAACCTAATAATCGTTGTCATTGTTTTAGGCCTGCCGTCCTTGCGGCCGCATCCCTCAGAGCCCCATCCGTGAGCCGCCGAACCGACGCGCTCTGGTAAGAGGCCTGCCAGACGTGGTCGGAGCAGACAGGGTCGGAGGATCGCGCCGAATCTTCAAAGCATCGTCGATGCACCACCGATGCACCGGCGACGTCGGCGAGGCATCGGCGAAGTCGGCGCGATGCACCGACCACATCTACACCGACCCCATCTGGGAGGCCTGGACCTTTGTCCGGGGCTGCTGAGGAGGGTGTCCATGGCCCAAGGTGTCCCCCGCTCTCCGCTCCATTAAGCGCGTTTCGTGGTTTTCGGCGATAGTGGGCATCGTAGGAGGGGGGAAGGGGCCGGGGGGGTATGATGTAGCGCCTCCCCCCCGCCGTGTGCCCGATGCGCACGGCGGCAGTACCCCGGAGCGCACTGGGGGGAGGGGCGTTTCGTCATAGCGGGTGGGGGGTGAGGGGGGGGATCGGGGGCTATAATGCCCATTATGCCCCAAGCAATCAAGAAACACGCTCTATGTTGGAGCTCCAGGGGCCCCCTGGACCTCGTGAGGGGTGCCTCGGAGGCCGTGGGGGCCTCCTTGAAACTCCTGGGCCAGGGTCGGGCCTGAATTGAGGGGATGGCGATAAATGGGGGGGGTGGACGGGTGCACTTCTGGGGCCCCAGAAGCCCCGTGTGGGGGCCCAGAGGGCCCCTTCGGGGGCCCTGAGGGGCCCCTTTTCTGCAGCCCCCGCTGCCCCTCCCCCACTCGTCGCCCCCCATTACGCGACGCCCGACAGAGGCCCCCATTGTGGGGAGAGCAGAAGGTACCGAGACCACTGCTCCCCGGACCTATCCCCGGGTGCGTTGTGACCAGGATTTCGAGGCGAATCCAGCGGTGGCGACGAGGGGCTCCCAGGAGGCCGGCAACAAAAAGGAAAGCGGGCAAAGGGCAGCGGTATGGGCACCCTGCCCTCCTCTGATCTTTTGTCGCCTCCCCCCTGGCCATCGCTCGGACGTCCGTTCCCTGTGTTTTTTTCGGTTTCGTGCGTGGTTTTTTCGCCAAATGATCAAGGATGCTCCTCGATGGTCCTCGCCGAGAGAAAAATGCACACGTCCGAGCGATGCCAAGCCCCTTACGCGACGCCCCGCAGGGGCCCTCTTACGGCCCTCGCCCAGCCTTCGGTCGGGCAGGTCCTCCCTGCGTGCGGATGTGGGAGGAAAAACAACAAGTAGTCAAAACTTCTTCAGAAATAGTCAGAACTAGCTGGGAAATCGTCCCCAGACCATTCCACCTGCAGAGGGTTACGCCCGACTGAAGCCCAGCCGCGGATCGGGGGGAGGGGCCTGCCCGCCAGCACCTCCCGCGTCTCGGCCTCGCCCGGCGCCGCACCGCGCTCCTGGCGGGGCTCGGGGGAAGACGAAAGCCAGGGCGAGGACAAATGCGGGTGAGAATGCAGTGGAGGGCAGTCTACAAGAAACCTTCCACAAGAAACCCAACCCTGAGACACCAGGACGTCCATAGATTTTTGGTGTGGGAAATGTCACGCTTTCCATGGCAAAAACATCAAACCCCAAGAAACCCAGGGCACCCTGGAGGCAAGCAGGGTGCTTGGGTCTCCAGTACATCGGGAATATGCGAAATCCCGCGGCCCTGGAGGATGTCTCGGGCGCGGCGGCCTGTTCAAAGGGTTCAGGAATGTCTCGGGAACGGGCTTATCCTCGCCCGAGCCCCGTCCGACGGGTCCCCCTGGGGTGGGGGGAGAGGAGCGGCACGGCTTGCGGCTTGGGGTGGCTCGATCACTGTCGCACCAGGCGTGCCAGCATGTGACCTGCTCTGTGCCATGCCGACACCCCCACCATCCCTGTCAACAACAATGCAAAGGGCACTCGCGGCAAAATCGAAGGTCATGCTTCGGGGGCCTACGAGCACTTTGTGTGGTTCTTTGATAGGGACGGCGGGGGTGCCAACATATGGCCTGCTGTGCGCAGGGCCACGATCACCGTCAACAGAGATGCACACTGCACTTCACCCTGCGATCCCGTTGCATTGGTTTATGACAGGGACGGCGGTGGTGCTGGCACGTTGCCAGATATGTGCAGGCCCGACATGCCTCATGATGGCCACTCCGCCGCGAGTGCTCATTGGCTTTCGATCAGGGGTGCGGAGGCCGAAACGCGTTTCCCGATGTGCGCGGGCGCACCTGGCAACGAACGTGGCGCACCTGACGCGGCTGGAGCATGCAACACATTTGGTGCGCGCGGAGCACGAGACACATCCGGCGCACCAAGCGTGCCTGGCACGCTTGGGCTTCAGGGGCGCGGGGCGGGCACGCGTGGCGCACCTGGCACTCGTGGCGCCTCTCGCCCCAGCGTTGAGCACCTGGGGTTTGTTTCGGTTCCCAAAAGCGAGTAGCTGTCATCCATCCAAAGACGACCGCTGAGTATGGGCGGGTGGGAATGGGCCAAGCAGTTTGTATCCGGGAGAGGTGTTTTGGTCACTGCTCAATATTACTAAACACCCGCCTCCCTCACCCGACAGGCAGCTAACCGGGACCCATGAGGGCCCCCCCCAGGGTAATCCCCCTCACCATACCTGTCAGGAAACAATGCAACCTACACTTAGGTCGCTCGTGTCGTGTCCTCCTACAGGCGGATTTTTGACGAACAATAAAACGAAACATAGTCAAATAATGCTCCCAAAACTGTAAACATATTTAAACAATCGTCGTCTGACTATTTCTTTTGTGCGTCAATTTTTGAAGATTCCTCCTGTAGAGGGACACGCCCGACTGAAACCTACACTTTGCTTGCAAATCTGGAGCATGCGCGCGCGCCCCGCGACCACTGAATTTTTTGTTGACAGGGACGGCTGGGGTGCTGGCATGTTGCTTACTGCGCGCAGGCCAACATCCCCCCCACCATCCCTTGCGAGAAAAAACGTACAACATACACCTCGCGCCAAAATCTAAATCATGCGCGGGCGACCCGCGAACACTCTGCATGGGTTTTTGAATTGGGCGGCGGGGGGGCAGCATCCCGCCTGACGCCTGCCATGCCAGCACGCCCCAGCCACCCCTTGCAACAAAACAGCACAACAAGCTCTATGCACCAAAATCTTCGGTGGCAACTCAATGAAGCCTCCCATGCCATCTCGTCGGCTCCTGCGAATCGGCGCTCATCGAGGATAGTCGACGCTAGTTGACGCTAATCGACTCTAAATTGACGCTGTCTCATCGACTCCCAGACGCTAATCGACGCAAAAATTGGAATCAAAAGGGTACACCAAGCTCCCATGACTTGCTACCGGAAAAATCTCGATCATGCGCGGACGCTTCGCGCTGACGCTGCACTGATTCTTGACAGCGACGGCGGGGTGGTCGGCAGATTGCACGCTGTGTGGAGGCCCACCGTGCCTCTCATCAAAACAAACAGCACAACAACTTTTGCCAGGGACGGCGGGGAGGGGGCATGCTGCCTGCTGCGCCCAGGCCCACCATCCCTGTCAAGAGACAAGCACAATAAGCAATCTTGGGCGCGCACCTGCACACAGCGAACCCGCCGCCACTATGCACTGGCTTTTGACAGGGGCGGTGGGAGTGTGTCGACGCATTGCCCAGTGGCCAGGGGGCGCACAAATAAAGACACACAAATCCAAGGATTCCCCGTATGTTTCCATATTTTCTGGATATTCGTCTTCCCCCCCAATTCCCATATTTTCATATATTTTCTTGGGAGTCGACGATTATCTGTGTCTCTGTTTTTCCTCCTCCTGATCATTGGCCAGTGTGGCGCACCTGGTGCGCGTGGCGCAGCTGGCATGTGCGGCGCACCTCGCGGGCTTCGCGCACCTGGCTGGCGTCGGCACTGGTTCCCGATGGTTGTCGATGGCGGCCCGTTCGGGTTGACCCAAAAGGGGGTCCAGCGACAAGAGGGTGGTGCAATAGATTTGGTGCAATAGTTTTGTGAGGTTGCAATACATTTGGGGCGTGTAATACATTCCGGGGCGCAGATTTATTGCTGGATTCTCGCGTGCAATACAATACTCGCAATACAATGCAATACAATTCTCAGGCACAATACACTTGCGATACAATTGCTCCAAATCTATTGCACCACCTACCCTCAGCTGGACCCCCTTTTGGGTTACCCAAACCCGTGTCCATGATGAGACTCGGGTCCTACTTTTGTGTTGGAAGGGCAGGCAGTAATGAGCAAGACGGCTTGTTGCCTGTGGGTAACATGACCCCTCCCCCTCCCCCTCCCCCCTTCCTCTGGACCTGGACGGGGGGGGGGGCCGCGACCCACTGCAGTGTCCCCAAAAAGGCCTCGGCGAGAAGGCAGACCTCGGTGATGCTCCTAAGGTTTTGAGCTTATGTTGGCCCCCTCGAGGGGCAATGCCATTTGGGACCCCCCCCCTCTTTGATCGAACTCCTCCACGATGGCCCTAATTGGGACCCCCCCCTCTTTGATCGAACTCCTTCCTCCACGATGGCCCCAACCAAGATAGCCCCCAAGGCTCCCAAGAGTGACTACCTAACAGACCACCCCAACCCAACCCGAAGGCCCGAATTGGACCCGAATTTCGGGTTGGGGGGGGGTACGGGTTCCATGTATTCTTGCCATGTTCCCCGACCCCCCCCCCACTGGAAGTGGAGGGCAACTTGAGGCCTTCGGGTTTGGGTTGGGGTGCTTTGGTGGGCGGTGAAAGAGGGGCCCCCAGAGGCGCCCAGGCGGCCCCTCGAAGTTTTTCGAGGATCGAGGATTGATCCCGCTTCGAGGGTCGAGCTCCGAATGCGAGGGCCGAGGATCGGCGCTCGCTCCCCACCCGAACTCGATGATCGAGGACATCCCGGCGCGAGGATCGAACTGCGGGCCGGGTCGAGGGTCTCAGACCCCCCCCCAATACCACGACTTTGTCATGACGGCGACCCCCGGAAAACCCAACCGTTCCCTCCAGGACCGGCTTATCGGCCTGAATCGTTCTTGGACGGTCCCGAGGCCCAGCAGAAGGGCCCCTGGGGGCCGAACATCGCAACAAGCCTCCCGCCGAGAGGGCGAGAATCGCGAAGAGCCTCCCGTCGAGAGGCCGAAGCTCGCGAAAGGCCTCCGGACTGGTTTCTCGCCCCGAGCCGTTTTTCGGTGGTCCCGAGGCCAGCAGAAAGGGCCCCGGAGGCCGCAAGCACGGAACAAAAACCACCTCCCGCTCCGACTTCTCCATATGCCCGAGGGGGTCCGGGGTCGAGGATCCAACCTTCGGGTATTGGGATCCAACCTTCGAGGATCGAGGATCGAGGATCCAGCGGCTTCGCAGCCATCCTGCGGTGTCGGGCCGCCGCTTCAACGCTGCAGCGCCGCTCGTCCCGGCCCGCCTCTTCCTCCTCCTCGAGCCGCCCGCGGCTGTCCCTTCGGCCTGGCGTTAGGTCGGGCGTGCCCCCCTACAGGCGGGTTCTGGCCGAAAAAATTAGATGGTCAACTAAATACAAAAAAAAATGCCACCAAATACTAAAATAATCGTCTGCTGTAGAGGGATAGGCCCGACTGAAGCCTGTAGAGGGACAGGCCCGACTTAAGCCTGGCGAGCGCCACCACGACCGAGGCTCGCCACTGTGCTGCAGTCAGATGTTCGTGGACCTCGCCGTCGCTCGGACGTCCACTCCCCGTGCAAGTCTCGGTGTCGTGCGTGTATGTTTTCGCAAGCTGACCCACGAGGCTCCGCGAGGGTCCTCGCCGAGAAAAATGCACACGTCCGAGCGACGCCAAGGGACCAAGGGCAGTTCTGCTCGCGATTCGCGCTGCGCGAATAGCTTCGCGATCTCGCGCCGCCCCCGCGGGGGGAAAGAAGAGGAGGAGGAGGAGAAGGAGGAGGAGGAGGACCAGTGTAAACCCAAGAGTCATCAACAATGTGAGAGTAACCCCTCCCTCCAAACTCCCTTTCGTAGGCCCCTACGGCAATTCATTGCCATTGATGGAACTGTCTCGTTGGAAGACACCCGTTGCAAGACCCTGAAGCTTGCAAAAACACAGTTCTCGGGATTCCAACGCCACGGATCAACCTGACTCTTGCGTCTTCACCATCCTGACTCGTGCCCGAACGCTATTTCCTAGGACTGCAACACAAAGAATCAACGTAACGGTTGCGCCCGCATAGTCCTGAATCCTTCAAAAACACCATTCTGGTATGTTGAGGATGGGAATATGTGAAACTCTTGAAAATGTTGTACATCAATGTGCGCGGCGCTAATGAGAGGCAATCCATGGGAGATCCATGGGAGATTGGGGGTCGATGCATCCCCCCTATGCCCATCCCCCCTTATCGTTGCTCCCGAGCTAAGGTGAAAACCACATGTTGAAAAGGAAGCGTCCTCAATCCGCGAAGCCCTTGTGCGCCGTGCTAAAG